ATTGTACCAAGCCTGATGGTTGCCTTCACCAGCTCCACCCCCTTAGCCCCCTAGAGTCCCCTTGAAGAACCACCTCAGTTTGCATGTGTTGGAAGTTGCCCTTGGACTCCCTGCAGGTGGCCCTTAGGGAGAAGGTGATCACAGGAAGTCCCTGGACCTCTCGTTGCCTCAGCTCCTGGCCTTGGTGTGCAGCTTAAAATGGGAAAAGCCTTAGAGAGTTGGTTAGAGGCAGCACATGGAGAATGGGTGGGGGGCACCCAACCTGAAGGCGGACCCAACCAGTGAAAGGTAGCATCGCAAAGGACAAAGCCCTGAAACATCTAACTGACTTCCTGACATTAAAGTTCACTTATTAGTGCTGAACAAGGGTTACTAGGGTGGGGGTCGTGGATTTGGGGCGGAAGGGGAGTCTCTGTCCTGCCCATAACCCCGGGCTCCAAAGTTGAGGGCAGAGTCAGGCCTATGTCGGCCGTGAAGTCATGTTCATGCGTTTGCCACCCAACAGGCCTATGTGGGGAGTGGGGAGAAGAGACCGTCTGTCTCAGCCTTGCTCGGCTGAGCTTTAGGGAACTTCTGGGAACGTGCCCCGGCCAGAAGGTCACAAGAGAAAAAGAACTAGCATCCGATGGTCTGAGCTGACCCCGTGCCTCCGGTCAGCAAGCAGGGTTTCTACTCCAGCAGGAGACCCTGTGACCATCAATCACCACCACCGCACCCCATTCCATTGTGTTTCGAAGAACCTGTGCTTTTTACAAATGAAGGTTGTGGCCATCCTGCACAGAGCAAGGCAGAGGGGACATTTCCCCACAGCAGGTGCTCCCGTTGTGTCTCTGGGTGCACACTGAGCGGCCTTCAGGGTGAGCATGACTTTTGTGTGTCTTGGGAAACCCAAGGATTCCTGTGAGTCACTTCATGGCAACATTTGAGGTGCTCTGGAAGTGAACTTGGGGTGTGGCCATGTTTCTCAAGCCTTCAATGTGGCCAGAGCCTGGGGCTGGAAGCACTGGTGTGCTGAGCAGGCTCTGTAGGCCAGACCCTATGGGAAAGATGGACTCATTCCTCCCCGCAAGCCCCTCACGGGCAGATGATGTATAAAGAGCCCTGGACTGAGAGTCAGCAGACCTGGTGCAGGCTTGCCTTAGTCGTCAGCCTCTGGGCCCTAGTGGTCTCATCTGTAGAATGGATTTGAGCTGAAAGTCCCAAGTTCCCTTACAAGTTCAGACCTCCTGCCCTTCTCTCACCTTGTAGCCATAAACATGAAACCAGGCCACGGTGAAAGGTGGGACGGCTCAAGGTCAAGTTGGCCACTGCGGGTGTGGCTTAATCAGTGCATAGGCCCTCAGCTGCTCTCCAATGGAGAGTGCCTGCCCTCCAGAGGGATCCCAGGCCTCCCCCTCATTTCCAGCCTGGCTTCATAACCTGGTGTCCCTGTGGTTAAAATGCCCTGCTGTTAACTGTAAAGTCAGGTGTTCGAACCCACCAGTTGAGAGACTTGGTAGTCTGCGTCCATAAAGATTACAGCCTGGGCAGCCCCAGAGGGCAGCTCTGCTTGGCCCAGTAGGGCCTCTCGAGTCTGAACGGACATGATGGCAGTGAGCTTGCTTTTTCAATCGCTGGTCTCAAGAGGAATCGCTCCGCCAAAAACCCCACAGGGTAAGCAGGGAGCCTAGCACACCAAAAGGAATGTTCTACACCAAGGAAAATGATGGTGGTGGTGGAGGGTGGGATGGGAGGGGGCGGCACCAGATAGTAGCCGGATTGATTCCTTAATCCAAGGGAGAATTTCCTGGGCTCACAAAAGACTTTTCCACCAAAGGCTGTAAATGGGTTCCCGGAGTCATGGTCCTATAGCTCAGAGATGTGCCCACCTGCCCCCCGACACTGTCCTCAATACTGACTGACCACTGTGTACATATGCAGGGCTCTTGTCTCTGCAGGAATGGATTTCAGAAAGAGCTCCCCTGCCCAGGCTGATGCAGCCCCCCAGAGGGCAAGCAGGGGAGCTGAGCAGTGGTAACATTTCAATCCTTTCAGCTAAGCACCTTGTGCAGTGCACAACTTTCTGTGTGCACCACAGGGGTAGCGGGGACTATAGAGGGTCACCCATACACAGGATCCGTATGCTGTCTGTCTGTCACAGTCTATAACGAGGCCAACCAGCCACCTTACAGTCTTTAGGGATTGCTAGGCCCAGGGAGCTAAACTTATTTTAGTATCCCTGTTAGGTGCTGGCCAATCCATGTCAGTCCATTGGGAGCCCATGGGCTAGAGAATTGCCTGTCCTCCCGGGGTCTTCTGGGTTACAATCAGCATGGGGGAAAATCACCAAGTCTTTCATACATGGAGACTTTGGATGGGTTCAGACGAACAACCTTTAAGTTAGCAGCCAAACGCTAACTGAATCACAGCACCAGGGGTCTTTAATAAAATTCCCTGTCTAGTTTTTTCCTCCTCTATTAAACACGGTGCCCATCGGGATTAAAGGTTTGATGACCAAGCACAGAACATGTGGTAGGGGTTCTAGGCTCTTCCCACCTCACTTCCCCTCCCCGCCACTCTCCTTGAGGCCCATGGTTGCGCCCCAAGGACTGCATCCCACTGTGCAAATCCCTCCAAAGCTAAGGCACAGAAAAAAAATGGTGGTGCTGCAGCCAAGTAATGGATGGCCGGCAGGTGGCGCCACTGCTCAATGGCCAAATGCAGCGATGTCTGTACAAAGACACAAACCCAACCAAACACCAAGTTCACTGCCATCGAGTCAGCTCTGACTCATGGCCACCCTATAGGTCAGGGTAGAACTGTGGGTTCCTGAGATGGTAACTCTCTACGGGGGTAGGAAGTCCCATCTTTCTCCCAAGGAGCAGCTGGTGGTTTCGAACTGCAGACCTTAAGGATCGCAGCCACACATTCAGCCTGGAAAAGGTACATTTGGAAGACCTGGGTAATGCAGCGGTCACCTAAAGTTCCGTTTAGGCATGGGAAACCTGCTGCACCTGCCAAACCACCTGCCCTCCTCCCGCTCCTGTGAGCAGCTCACAGGGAAAGGGCATTTCCCTAGCTTTGTCTTTCCACTCACCTCTGAGAGCCTGGTCCCCATGGGGCCTGCCCAATACAGGCCTGAGGCCACAGCTGTGTCCCCCAGGACTCCCTGCTAAGAGTCCTTTTACAGCTGGATAACTAACTGAGTTGCTAAGCAGGAAGGCGGTCCCTGTGATCTCATCCGACTATTTAATGACACAGAGTCGCAGGGGAGGGGTGGAAAATGGTTGCTGCTCTGGGCTGCTCACTGAAAGACTGGAGGGCCGGGTCCATCCAGAGGTCCCTCAGAGAAAAGGCCGGCCAGCCCACTACTGAAAAGATCAGCCCCATGGGGCCCAATTATCTCCCGACACACACGGGATGGTGTAGACTCAGCAGCCACTGGCGTTGGGTCAAAAAACAAAACCCAAATCCCTGCCATTGAGTCGATGCTAACCCATGGAGACCCGTGAAGACAGGGTAGAACTTCCCCTGTGGGCTTCCAAGACTGACTCTTTACGGACGTAGAAAGCCCCATCTTTCTCCCCAGAAGCAGATGGTGGTTTTGAACTGCTGACCTTGTATTTAGCAACCCAACGCATAACCACTACACCTCCAGGGCTTCTTGGTAACAGGTAGTTAGTGACAAAGCTGGAATCAATGATTCTAGGTGAATTCTCTTTAACATATTGTCTGTGGGACAAAGGGCTCCTTGGGTGGGTCTTATATCACAAATGAATGGACCATCTCATTTCAGCCCTCTGACCTCTCCCCCAGGGCCTGCCCCAGTCGGTGGTCTCCAGCCATGACTGCACTTCTCCTGCTTGGTGTGCTGACCCTCTCCGTCCCCTCCACCTGTAAGTAAGCAGAGTATCCCCTGCGGACCCTGGGCTGACCATCTGCAGTGAACGCTGGGGCATCCAACCAAACGTCATCTGAGCTGCTTCGATTTTCTTCCCCACCCCCTGCCTAATCATGAGGGAGACGGAAACACCAGTGATAAACTGTAGGTTTAATTAAATTGAGATTGGGGCACGCCCTGCATAGTACGTGAACGTATGGGATGGGAGCCAAGGTCTGGGCAAAGAGCAAGGTAACCAAGGAGTAACCACCCCAGGTGACATCACGCCTCCTGTCCCCTTGGGTCAGGGACTGAGGGCAGCCCTGGCTCTGCTGGTCTCTGGGGAGCCTGTTGGTTTTCTTGGCATCAGCAGCGTCCCTTCCCCTTTTGTGTGTGGACAAGGAGCATTATTTCCAGCCCTGCCTGCTACACCCGACTCCCACACACACCTGAGCAAGTGCCTAGACAGCTCAAGGAGCCCTGGTGGTGTGGTGATTACGCATTGGGTTACAATCCTCAAGGTCAGCAGTTCAAAACCACC